ATCATTTTTGTACCATATCCATCGTAGCAGGTAACTTGCTTACTTCCAATACCTAGGTAGCTAGTTATCTTACAGCTAAAGTATTTCACTTTTACTTGAGCGCATGTAGTCATTTCTAAGAGGTATCCCCTCTTTTTGGTTGGTGAAAATTTATGGTTGTTTATTTTCACTAAGAGAACCCAAGTAAAAGCTAAGTTAGAATTGGTCATAAAAGAGACCCTTTTAAGGAGCAATAATAGACAGGACCAAATTCCAGCAAAATTGAAAATTGCAACTAATTATGTACTAGCCTAAACAGAGTAATTCCCAACTCACACACTTGAGTATAAAAAATAAAATAAAAAAAAAGCAGAAATCGGTGACTCAACCAAATCTCCTTCTCTAATCAACTGAAAACCCAAACATTCTCGAGTATATCTTCAACAAAGTACTGAAATCTTGGGAAAGTTAAAAAAAGGACGACGACATTCATATAGCCGAGTCCAACTTATTGCTTGAGATTGAGATTGAAGCGCAGTAATAGTTGTCAATTTGTCATGAAACAGTAATTAAGTAAAGCTCCATTTTTTCTGAAGAAGAATAAAGCTCCATCCTAAAGATGTTTTGTCAAATTTAATGAAAATGCATGACCTACATGCTTTCAAGAAAACACTTCAAATCGTTAAAAAAAAAAAAAAAAAAAGTAGAACAAACCTTCATTATCAAGATTTGTGTCGGTCGTAAAACTCGCTCAGCCTACAAATGGTGAAGAAATTCCTGAACTTGTCAAAACCAAAGCTCCACCTAAATTCTTACAGTGCTTTATCCCACAAATGACATCAGTGGTTTACTGCAGTATCACCAATAAAAAAGACTTTCAAAGATGTCTCTATTTTTACAGTTACCAAGAATAAGGCTGATGAAGGAAATGAGACATGCTATAGAACAGACACGTATTTGGAATTTGGTCTGGAATCGCGGTTTGTCTGTCTCACATGCAGATAACAAGTGTACTAGGATAACCTCTTTGGTTGACACGATCGAGTCTTTGCTGCATAATTTTAATGCTCCACCGCTAGCTACTGCATGTATTCTTATTCTGTCTTTAATTTGCTTCCAAATGAGTTATACTTATCTTGATCCTACTTTCTTACGAGAAATCATCCATTCGGAAGCCGTCGTTTGGTTTATTGTATTGAAACAAATAATCTCATAATAAAATCCCCATCAACATATTTACAATATATTAAAAACAGGAAACCCTTAAATGAAAAGTCAGATTACTATTTTACCCTTCACTTAATAAATTACTACGAAATTATCCTTTTCTTAGAATACGCTTTTTAAAAAATAACAAAAATCCTCAGATTAACTTCACGACTGAATTGAACAGTCGCCTGGAGACAGACACCTTCTCTTACAAAACTCAAGAGACGCTTGGCGACAGACACCTTCTCTTTCACAGATTAACGATCATATTCCCAACAGTTGCATCCCTTGATTTGTTGTCTTTAAAAGCAGAACCTTATGGCAATTTCCTCACAGTTTCTTCCCTTCTCTACTAAAGCAACAGGTATACAATCTGATTTCTACTACACCAAATCCTTATGTTTTTCAATGAGTATTCTCCTATTTATCATTTTTTCACCATCTCCTTGGTTCACAGATCTTTCCCGGCATTACAATTTCATCCATATATTTGCGCCCATAAATTGTACCCGAAATATCTCGCTCGCTAATTCAACTTGTAAGTCCCTTTGTTTTGTTTACCCCATTATATATTTTGTTATAATTGTAGCTTTACGTTTTCCACAGTCTTTGTTTACAACAATTACGTTCTGCTTTCTTCTATGACATAATTATAATCTGAAGATAGTGTTCTAATTTTCATCCCTCCATTTATTGTTTACTTTAATTTGTGTTTTAAAATTAACTATATGTTCTATGTTTGTCCATTGCCTTAATTGACTGATGTTGTTTCATAATTTCTTCTTTAGTTTCTGAGTTAAATGGTTACCATCATAAAACACAATCAAGGGAACTTATTTTATGGTCTGTTCATGGAGAAAAAGGGGATACAATTCCTTAGCATTGATTGTCGTGGGACGGATAGCGAATTTTTGGAAGAATTATTCCCGGATGAAGGAGCCGCCGAAGAGATCCGCCAGATTTTGACAAGAAAAAACCTAGGAAAAATCATCTCCTATCTTATTGATCAACATGTAAAAGATGAAAAATTCCGGCAGAATTCATACATTTGTGAACAAGCTATTGACCATTTTTTACTACCAAGGGCTAGGCGAACCAAAGTCTTCACAAGTCCCCGTTACCTTCTCCAACCGAAACGATATCAAAAAAAGATTGAAAAAAGGAAAAGAAACTTATGAACAGTCAATGTTAAAGGTTAGGCTACCTATAGTTACAAAAAAAATTCAACACTACAGCCTCCTGCCATTACTATGAGTATTTCTATGTCTATCAGATACCAGTTCCAATCCCATTAAGTTGTGTTCCAGCTGTTAGCACATTAGTATTTCTCTCATTTGTCCCTGTAATGTTGGTTGCAATATATGTAGAATACATATATCTTGTAGATACTAACTTACAATTTCACCTAGAGTTTTACCTTACTATATGTTTGCCCTTACATATGATGTAATAGTCTTTCTTTCTGCTATGGATAATGTATTCGCACTCATGTAATATAGCAATTTTTATGCGTTGATTTGCTTCATCATCCAATTGCTTGCAGTTATTTCCCTTATAATGAACTTAACAGCAAAATTATATATACTACATCATCGATTTGAGTTATGTTATTTATACTGGAAACTATTACACACCCATTAAACTACGCTTCTGATATTTAAATTTTCTAATGTACCTGCTTCACAGCAAATGTCAAGGTATATTAAGTTCTTACTACCCATTATCCTGATATCCATAGATAACTNCCCGAGGATCTCTTGGTATCCTCAATAATATGCCAGGGATCTCTTGGTATCCCGAGGATCTCTTGGTATCCCGAGGATCTCTTGGTATCCTCAATAATATGCCAGGGATCTCTTGGTATCCCGAGGATCTCTTGGTATCCTCAATATATATAAATGTGCCAGGGATCTCTTGGTATCCCGCACCTCAGTCCAGATCGTAAACACGTGCAGGGGATCTCCCGGGATGCCGTCCCGTAGTCCCAAATTTAAACACAGAATAACAGCTCAAGAGTATCGAAATAAATGCTCAACTCATAACAAGTAACAGTAAATTCTAGCCCTACATACTTCCCGAAATACAAATGAAGCAAATTTTAAGCAAGTAGGCAGGTAGGTCAACTAAGCATGCTTCTCTAAACTAACACAGACTATAATTGCAAGTAAAATAAAGCAAATAAGAAAGAAACTCAGTCTATGTATTTAAAGTAAAAGCCGGATTTTCAACAATTAGCTCAAGTACGCGCTCGTCACCTCACGTACGAGGCTTTCAAATATTAAATATCATGTCCTAAGGGGAAGAGGTCCCCTACACAAGGTTAGACAAGGCACTTACCTCGAACCGGCTCAATATCAACTAGAAACCATGCTCTTGCCACGAGTATCCGACTCCAAATGGCTCAAATCTATTCAATTCAATTACACATCGTAAATAACATTGCAAACACCTGGTTTTGCTGTTAAATTCAAAGCTACGACGTAAAATTAGGTGAAATGATCAAAATGCCCTTCAGGCCAACGCCCCGGAATCGAATAATTTTCACATTTTCAGAACCCCCGTACTCTCACGAGTCTAACCATATAAAAATCTCCCAAATCGGAGGTCAAATGCTCACTCAAAACTCAATAATTTAGCCGATGAAGTTTTACCCCAAATTATCCAATTTTTGATCCTAAATTCGAATTCCCATAATGTATTCAACTATATAATGATAAAGTATAACAAAAAGGGATCAAAGAAACGTTACCCAATGATTTTCTCTTCAGAACCCACTCAAAATCGCCTTCTCCCGAGCTCTCAATTGATTTTTCCAACTTTTGAAACTAACCCTCGAATCTGATATTTCACCCCAGAGATTACCGCTTCTGCGGTCGAGGGACCGCTTCTGCGGTCCCGCTTATGCGGAAAAATGAGTCGCTTCTGCGACTTTTCACTAAAGGACCAACATCCGCTTCTGCGGACCAACAACCGCTTATGCGGTTCCGCTTCTGCGGAAAGGCAACCGCTTCTGCGGTTTTCCTTAAAATGCCCAAAACCGCTTCTGCGTTCCTCCACGCCGCATCTGCAGCTCCGGTTCTGCGGTTCCCAAGCCGCAGAAGCGAAAAAACCAGAAGAGAAAAACATCAGCTGCTGCAACACTCCTCAAATTTCTCCGTTAACCACCCGAAATCATCCCGAGGCCCCCGGGACCTCAACCAAAAGCACCAATACCACCTAATACCTTATTCGAACTTGTATCAATCCTTAAAACACCTAAAACAACACCGGGAACCCGATTAAATCAATGATTCAAGCCTAAGAACTTCAAATTTCTTCCAAATACGCTTTCGATAAAAAACCTAACCAAAACACGTCCGAATGACCTTAAATTTTGCACACACATCCAAAATGACATGACGGAGCTACTGCAACTTCCGGAATTCCATTCCGAACCTCGGATCAAAAACTCACTATCGGACCGGAACTTCAAAAAATACAAACTTCGGCATTTCAAACCTAAATGAGCTACGGACTTCCAAAATACATTCCGAACACGCTCCCAACCCCGAAATCACCTAACGGAGCTAACGGAACCATCTGATTTCCATTCCGAGGTCGCCTTCACACTGTTCCGACTACGGACCACTTTTCCACACTTAAGCTCTAATTTAGGAACTAAGTGTCCCAAAACTCTCAGAAACTCATCACCAAACGTCCCGGCAAACCAAAATAGCATAAATGAACTTAGGGGAAGCAGTTAATAGGGGATCGGAGCGTAAATTCTTAAGACGGCCGGCAGGGTCGTCACAAAACCACTTACTGGAGAAGGTCGTAGCAGGAGAAGAGAGATAATAGTTACAAATGAAAGGTCAGTTATACTTACGCATGTTTCAATGAAAACCAAATTTTTTTACGTATTATATAGGTTAGGTAATACAACTAATCTAATTTGTAATTTAAAACACAGGTCTGATCTTACATCTATCACTTTATGGGGAGATTTTGCTGAAAATGATGGTGAACTTCTTGAAAAGATGAAATACGATAAACCAATCCTTGGCTTTTGTGATGTTAGAGTCTCAATTTACAAAGGTATATACACCAACAATTGCTTGTATTATAGTATTCACGCTTTAGCCTGTATTTATATTATTCACACTTTATGGACTGAAACTATTCTAAATAATTTCAACTTCTTTAATTAGGAAATTTTGGAATATCAACTATTCCTGTAAGCAGTGTGCTAATCAATCCAACAATCCAAAAGGAAACAGAACTCTGAAATTGGTACTTATGATAATTCTATTGCATTAGTAGTCATGGATATATTGCTGGTATTATCAACTCTTGAACCTTGTTATCATGATTAAGACTATGGGACCCTTAAATTTACAACCTCTACTATATAATTTTATACTACTGACTGCTTCTATTTTTAAAACAAATTTTGCTATAAAAAATTTACACAAAACAATACCAAATAATAAGCATGCTCCTCTCTTAAGTTTATTCCAAATATTATGAGGTAAGCCTCTCTTTTTTAATTGAATGACAAAAATATGTGCTGCAAATGGGGCCAAATATTTCTCAGTTACAAGGTTTTGGGTGTAAATTTCCTTTAACAAATCTACAATCGTCACGTCTACATCTTTATTCATTGTTCTAATTATTGTTTCATCAATATTTTGATGTGTTAAATTTTTGATCCTATAAATATATTATACATTTCAATAATACTTACTAAAATACAGGCGTGATTCCATGAAGGCGGAAAATAAAGATATTGCATTAATACCAACTAAGGCAATGAAAAGCGCCAAAGAAGTGAAGTTAGTTGATATTATGGATGGCGTACTTGCAGATGCACATGTAACTTCCTACAAACCTGTTCTCAATAATATACATGTTTTATAATTCTTATATAATATAATCTAATATATTTTTTATTGTTTATGTCCAGGAAATATATCACAAGTTCAAAGCAAAAATTACAGACATTATAAATAAAGATGAGCCATGGTATTCTTCATGCAAAAAATGTTTCAAGAAAGTTGATGTTATAAAAGACACTGCAACTTGTGGTAGCTGTAACATAGAAAATGTTGATTATGAAAGCAGGTGAGAGTGAACAACACTTTTAAATATTTCATTTAAATGAACCAGTTATGATTTTTTTAACAATCGACAATATTTTAGATATTGTTTAAGAATTGAAGTTTCTGCTGGAGAACGACGTGTTCGTGTTATACTTTTTGACGCTGCAGAATATTTGTTTGGTTGTGATGTCAAGGAGTATATTCAATCAATCTGTACGAAGGTCTGAATATTCTTTATTATAAATTTAAGAGTACTAATACTTTGAAAGTATTTCAATAAGAAAATACGTTTCATAAATTTTAATTTAATACATAAATTAATTTCAACTGTATTCTTGTTCTTCAATTGTGCAGAAGGAAGAATCTAATTACTACCGCAAGTTGGTGCTGAGTAAAGATAAAGAATTTATTTTTCTTGTCAAGATTGATAACAAAAATAAAAATTCAGGAAGGATTTTAATAGCTCAAGAGATACATGAATTTCAAGATGTTGCCACAATCAAAGTTCTGGATGAAGATAAACCAGCAAAGATACGAAGGAAGAGGTCGAAAAGAAACAATGAAGATCAACGTCCTATTTCTAATAAAAGAATCAAAGTTGAAAAAAATTAGTGCTCTTTCTTTTTGGCCAAATAAACTATGAAATACTATTATTTGTCTATTCTGTAAACTTAATTCTTCTTATATCATTATGTAAAGACAAATTGTGCTGGCAGAGCATTAAATGAAATTTACATTCTTCACTAAATTATTTTCAACCATAATTCTTCTAATACTTTAATTGTATCCATTTTATAGATTATTTAATCTATTTTTACATAGAGGCAATTATTCAATCGGAAGAGGCGTTACGCCCCAACCTATCATAGGTATATATTTAGCTAAATAATTTATTTTTATTGTAAATTTAAATATCAACTGAAATCGTTACATATGAAACAAAATATCATTTTACTTAAGGAAGAAGCCTCTTAAGATACGGACATTAAAAATTATTACGCTATATTATATTGACTACTGTTAATTTATCTTATTCAATCACGTTATTAATTGATCTATGTACGCTAACATAAAATTATACAAAATATTTGAGAAATAAAAAATAAAATTATGTCTCATGCAGGCAAATTAAGCATGGCAACTCGTGACAAACCCCAATGCAAAATAACAGGTAAACTTCACCAAGTTCTTTCAATTGATATTATATAACCTTTTCTCAATTACTAATATCATAACATAATAAATTTAACAGGAAACAAACGAAAATCAATTGCAATATCCAACGTAACTGATAAAGATGGAAATAATACTACAAACAAGATGGGCCATTCAGGTGACGCAATTTATACCTTAGAAAATAAATTAACTCACCATATTATGATCAACTATCCCTAAATTAAAAGAAATAAAATACATACGTTATTTAATCTTCATATTTTAATTTGTGTATTTAATTACAAAATATTATAAGCTTAGATTAGGGTCTCCGACTATCATGATCATACACAATATCGATAAAGTATATGTGCATATAATAATACATATTATATTATTTGTCACAAACTATTAATATTTATTTTTGCATAATAGAAAATTCATCATTAAAAAAAGCATTGCGAAGGGTGCAAAAATATGTAGCATCCACTCAACCTATTAGCGATGCACCCTTTGAAGATACACGACCGAAGAGGCAAAGAAGAAACTGGTCACTTCTTGCTTTATCAGAAGAAAACCAAAATGGAGGTATATTCACTGCACTAACATAGATTGATTTTCTTTGTTTTCATTACATTTCAAATTTCAAATAATATTGCAATATAATATTTTTCGCTACTTCATTTAGACGGAACTACTTGCAACCTATCATCTTCAAATACTCATAAGTTGGAAAAAATTCCTGAATGTACATTTTGTCATGCCAAGAGGTTTCAATATGAGCCTCCAAAATTTTGTTGCGGAAGTGGATATATCAAACTGGCAACCCATGACGTTCCGTCGGAGTTATATGAATTATTTGTAGCTAAGTCTGAAGAAGCCAAATTATTCCGAAAAAATATCCGAGCATATAATAGCATATTTTCTTTTACATCTTTTGGAGTTAAGCTGGATAAAGAAATAGCATCTTCAAGGAAAGGAGTTTATACTTTTAAGGCACAAGTACAAATATATCATCATCTTCCGTCATTAGTCCACATGATGATAATCCATGCTATTTTCAATTGTACTTCTATGATACAGATAATGAATTGTGCAATAGAATATCAAAACTTCAGGAAGCAAACTTATCGGAGGAAATCGTGGCAAAAATCCGGAAAATAATGGATGAAAATCCATATGCACAATTCTTTTCCCAGCTAAAAGATCAGCCGACATTTCAAAATTTACAAGTTAGAATAGCAGCGACTGCTTCTTTAGATCAACGGGTGTACAACAAACCGACAGTAGATCAAGTTGCAGCAATTTGGATAGACGGAAACAATCCTAATATCCCATTTGAAAGAGATATTTTGGTACATGAACATTCAGGCAACNAAAATCACTCCTGCAGTTTCAATAGAACAGTGTATTTTGGAGTTTGTGTAATAGTTTTTTTTTGGATTTTTAAGGAACTAATGGCCTAATCTAAAGGGAGAAATTTTCAGATGTTAGAAATACAATTTTAGGAAATTTTAAAGAGTCAGAGAGTCGAAAATCTTCAGGGAATTTTCAGGGTCCCAAAAAAACTTTTTAAACAAGGCAATGTGTGTGCCTTTTATAGGCAAAGCCTAGGGCTAACTTCAGATTTTTAGTTTTCTTTTTAGTCCCTTCTCATTTTAGCTTTTAGTCCCTTATTTTTAAACTTGTTACTCAAGTAACAACACCTATTTTATTGAAAACTATACTAAAGTCTATTCTAGAAAGTCCTATACCCATTACAATTCCTATACTATCCCTTCTCTACTTTTAAAATTACTATTCCTAGTAGAACTACCCTTTTCTATGCCTAAATTACCCTTTTATTTATTCTGAAATTACTAGCCTCCATTAACTACACTAAACTTTCTAATTGACCCTGGTTCAAATAACTATTTCTGCAAATTAACCAACCACCAATCCAATTGTGAATCCTACATTCAAATGACTACTGCTTTTGGATTAACAACTACTAGTAACGCATCAGAGTAAAACAGTGCCCACAGAGTATTGATTAAAACTGTAGCAAGCAAATTCGACACACACACAGTTAATAGAACAACTTATTCATGAAGCATGGAGAAGATTTAAACAACTAAAAACCTAAACTAACCCTAAGCATGATTAATCCTAATCCTAAAGAACTCAGTCACAAGTAAATTGACAAACGACCCAATTATTAATTAAAAGACAACAAATGCTAATGTATTTGACCACTGGCTCAAGCGAAGATGAGGAAAAATAAACTCAAACCCTAAATTGATTGCTCAAGAGGAAGTATCAGTCAGAAGGAAAAGATTAACGAAGGAGGACGAGGAAAACTTACTTAGCTTGAGCACTTGACTGACTATGGGTGAGCTCCGACTGGTCATTTGTTTGAATCCTCCGGGATTCTTGACGCGTAACATCCCTAATCGTGTGTTTTCCAAAAGAACACACATGATTAGGGAAGTTATGGTCGAAAATCCCCAAGATTTCTAATTTAGGGTTCTGCCGGATTTTGATCGGATGTTTGGGCAATTCTGGCCATATTTGAGATATGTGGCTATGGGGGTTGGATAGAGAAGATCAAGGCGGTCCCATGGTGTTAATTTGGGACCGTTTGGCATAACTTGCGACTTGGCCGGAAAATTTCGAATGGATATTCGACGGGTTCTGGTAAGATTTGGAGGCAACGGGTAGTGGATTTGAGTAGAGGAAGAAAAGGGGAATCTGGGGTGTAAATTTGGTGGTCATCGGAACATCGCCGCCGGCGGCGACGATTTCCGGCGGCGGCGGACGGCGGAGGGGCGGTGGAGCTAGGGCGGAGGGCAGTGGTAGCTGGCGGTGTAGAGTGGAGGTCGGCGGAGCTTAGGTTTGTACGAGGAAGGAAAGTTTTGTCTCAAAATTTTCTAAGTAATTCGGACAATTTTATGTAAAATTGAGATTAAGCTTGAGCCGTTGGATATGGGGGAAATGAACGGTGGTGATCAAACGACGTCAAAACGACGTCGTTTTGTCATGGAAGGGACTGGACCGGGTTAGGGATTAGATTGGGCCTGGGCATGGGGTGATTTTGGTCCGTTTTTTTTTTTTTTGGTTTGTTTGGGCTGGCTTGCTCATTTCAGAGCTGGCCCAACAAAATAAACCCATTTTCTTTTCTTTTCCTCTTTTATTGTTTATTTATTCTATTTATTTTCTTTTCAAAATTAACAAAATCTAAGTTAAATCCCAAACCAATTAATTTCCAAAAAGGAACTAAATCCTAATTTTAAAAGAAAAATTAAGCAAAAAGTGAAATTAAAAGAACAAAAAAAATGTAAAAGATTTATTATTATTTTTTGGTATTTTTCTCTTATTTTAGTAATATTAATTGATCAAAATATAAAATCGAATTCTAAATGCAAACGTACTATTTTTGTACTTTTTTACGGATTATAGCAAGTTAAAATGCACACGAAAATGCAAACGAGACACAAAATCATGCAATTAATTCCTAAAAATTCGAATAATAAAAGAAAAATTCTAATTCTAATGAATTTATAGGAGTAATTTAAGCGTGGCAAAAATCACATGCTCACATCAACTATTCCTGTAAGCAGTGTGCTAATCAATCCAACAATCCAAAAGGCAACAGAACTCTGAAATTGGTACTTATGATAATTCTATTGCATTAGTAGTCATGGATATATTGCTGGTATTATCAACTCTTGAACCTTGTTATCATGATTAAGACTATGGGACCCTTAAATTTACAATCTCTACTACATAATTTTATACTACTGACTGCTTCTATTTTTAAAACAAATTTTGCTATAAAAATTTTACACAAAACAATACCAAATAATAAGCATGCTCCTCTCTTAAGTTTATTCCAAATATTATGAGGTAAGCCTCTCTTTTTTAATTGAATGACAAAAATATATGCTGCAAATAGGGCCAAATATTTCTCAGTTACAAGGTTTTGGGTGTAAGTTTCCTTTAACAAATCTACAATCGTCACGTCTACATCTTTATTCATTGTTCTAATTATTGTTTCATCAATATTTTGATGTGTTAAATTTTTGATCCTATAAATATATTATACATTTCAATAATACTTACTAGAATACAGGCGTGATTCCATGAAGGCGAAAAATAAAGATATTGCATTAATACCAACTAAGGCAATGAAAAGCGCCAAAGAAGTGAAGTTAGTTGATATTATGGATGGCGTACTTGCAGATGCACATGTAACTTCC